ACTACTTGCTCCTTTAGCAGTAGGAAGTATTTTATCAGTGGGGAAGGAATAAGCTAGAAAAATTATTGTTGTCTGAGGTGGCTGGACTAGAAATAAAGCTCAGGAATTCTGTGTACCAAGACCTTGCTCCCTCTGATGGATTGTACTGCCCATATGTTTTAAATCAGATTAGATTAATTTGAACTGGGGTATGAAGGAGGGAATCTGACACATTTAGAGCTGGTACTAAAATAACAGCTATCTGCTGACCTCATGGGACAGCTGCTGTTTGTGCCAATGTTTAGTCTCACAGGTTCGTGGATAGGACTTTCCTACATAACTTCAGTGAGTAAAGAGCTCAAAGCCCATCTGTTTACATAGATTCAAGCTCAGCTTAATTACTTTGGAAATCCCATCCACCGGCTTTACACAAAATGGAACTGGAGAATATGGATGCAGTTCAACACCAGCAACCTCTGGAGGCAAACTGGGATCTAGAGTACAAAGGCCAGCACCTCTGGGGTTTTAGTCTCTTTGAATATTGCTGCTGTTTTGTTTCTTTTATAGTAGTGGCTGCTCTACAGTGCTCTGTGATAAGACTCAAAAATTCCTTCTGCAATCACTGATGCTGAGAGCTGGTTGTAAAGGAAAACAGTGCATTTTGCAGCTCTGTAAAGAAAGAATCACACATAAGACAGAAACCAAACTTGTTTAAAGGTAAATGTATATTTAATATCACCATTAATCATTGTCTTTTAGTTGGGGAAAAAGCTTTCTAATGAGGTATTTCTGAAATGCCAGTAGTAGTACAGAAAACTTACATTTCAAGGTACTTTACAACACAGAGCACAAAATATTCCCTAGGCCTGATTTAAGTAGCAAAAGTACCTTAATTTCTAGTAAGCTTAATAGATATGTTAGTCACTGACTGTTCCCAACTCCCCCACAGTGTCTGTTTAGTTTGCAAATAGAGCTAGATTTATGCAGCTTTCCTTTTGCTTATACTACTAATGCTAATAACACATCCAAGTGTTAAACACAAAGCACTAAACAATGTAATTTTCTGCCTTAAAATACTGAACAAATGATACTTTCCCATTAAGGGCTAGTAAAAAAGAAAAAAGATATTTGAAAGGTAAGATGCTATGGTACGTTTCCAAATATTTTTGTATTGTGTACATTCTGTATATTTTTGTTGTAACAATATTATTTGAGCTCAGAATCCATTAAATTTTTTTTTTGGTGGTGATTTTTTTGTTTTTCTGGGTTTTTTTGTTTTTTTCCAAATAAAGTTGAGCTGTTCTACATCACATGCCAAAAACCAATCAAGAAAAAACTTTCAAAGATAGTTTTGTAAGTTTGTCTACAGTTAACAGTATTTAACAAAAGAGCAATTGGCTTTGCAATGTAATCTTTGAATAGTGACATTCATAACTCATTTATATGTCTCTAAAAGTGTCTGGCTAAAAGATAAAGGGGAGAGTGAAATACTGCTTTATTTCTCCATGAGATGCAACAAGGATGCAGAACTGGCTCAGGACTTGTATTGGAATTCAGGTCTTGTCCCACATTTGACAACTGACACTGTAGTGCAGTAGTGACCTCAGAACCACAGGGCAAGTACATTAGACTGTTCAGTTTTTTTTATTGGGGTGGAGGGTTGTTCTCCTTGAACGTCAGTCTCTACTGAACGTCTTAAAATCTCAGAGCCAACACATTCTCACCTCTTGAATCAATAGTGGGAACAACATATCCAGGAAGTTCTGCAGCAAACCTCCAACTGATTTAGTTATTTTGGGGTAACTAAAATAAAAATCCCTCCACCAATGCAGAAGGGAGAGGCTTATTTTGAAAAATATTTTATGGGTTTTTTTGGGAAACACTGGGTTAAAGTGTAACTTAGAGAAATGAAGATGTAACTAGCAGCAGTTCCTGCCAGAGTTGTCACTCCTAAGGGGAGGCAGGTCACTGCTACCGTATGCAGGACTCAGCTCTTGCTGTTAGTTTTCTGCACTTAACTGAGCTTTCCCAGACCCTTGAAGTTCTTTATTCATCAGCAGAGGACTTTCAGCAAGAAGTTATGGTGGGGTTGGTTGGTTTTTGTTAGTCAATACAGGAAGTGTTAGTGTCTGCTAGCACCATACGTTTTTCTTAATGGCTAAAATAATTTTAGAAAGGCAAAGCAAAGGACAGAAATGCTGCCAATTCCAGCAGATCTGTCGCAGAGAAGGAGCCAAGAGCTGGCAGCCTTGATCACACAAACTCATAAAACTTATTATCATTTTATTTCCATAACTCCAATTATATTCTGTATAGTAAGCATTGCTCGTAAGTGTTGGAAAGAGAAATACTAATTGGTTTATGTGCTGCTTCTCTCGGGGGTAAAGAGTGGGGGGGGGAAGCCCAAAAAACCAAACCAGACCCTCGTCGTTCAAATTGGAAGAGGTCTGTAGCAGTTAAATCTAAACTTGCATTCTTAACATAGGCCTGGGGGATTTTGTGTTTGGTTGGTTTGGGGGTTTTGAGGGGTTTTGTTTGTTGGTTTGTTTTGTTTTGTTTGGGGTTTTTTTTCCCCCCCAAAGAGTTTTAAAACAGACCCTTAAAACTGTAGTAAAAATCTTCCAGGTTTGCAAATTAAGTGCACATCTCAGCATCTCCTGACCTTTTGTGTGCTTCATCCTGAGCTTTGAATAGCTGATTGCTGGAGGAAATTGTGTAATACTCTCCAGGCATTCATGCAGCTAAAGCAGCTGCTTCTGTATTATTTATTATGCTTCCATTTAATCTCCTTTAGTTTTGTTTTTTAAAATAGAATTTATAATGGAAAGATGCCAGTAAAACCTGTAAATTCATGAACCACCATGGTGTATTTCTATGTGTGTGTGTGTACTTGTGAGCACCTTGAGTTTAGTAGTTACGCAACTGAATGGCCAAGTCACTGCAACACTGGCAGAAGCAAGATGATGTTAAAACAAAGGCTGCAGAAAGTAAGAAGTTATGTTTTCCCAATGCCAGCCACCTTCAGTGCCGGCCAAATGCACATGCAAGAGAAAAAGCTGTCCACATGTAACAGTACAAATCCAGTGGAACTGATACTGAACAGTGCGTTACCTTGAAGAGGAGAAACCCCCAATGACTAAGCAAAGTTTAGCAGTTAAGGTTATTGGATTTTGAAGACTGATTTATGATAACTTACCTAGCAAACAAAACAAAAATCTTATTTCAATGAGTATAGTAAAGGTTACAGGACAACAGGATAATTCAGGTTATAAGGGACCACAGAAGGTCTCTAGTCCAACCTTCTGCTCCAGCCAGTAACGCAGGTTGTCCAGGACTACAGCCAGTTTATTCATGAAAACTGCCAGGGATGAAGACCGGGCAAAGCAGTTGTGGTTGTATCTCAAGTTCATCACCACCAGCGTTGCTGTGCCTGGCACTGACTGACTCCTTGTAAATATTAAGGCCAGCACATAGAACAGCTGCAGGCAGGGGGCTCTGGGCCAGCTCTCCACCCAGCTGCAGGCACAAGGAACAGGACAGGACTAGTGCAATGATTTCTTACAGATCCTACCGGATCACAGCTACCCTGAGCTCTTCCCTGACCTGCCCACGTATGTTCTGTGTCGCCTCAGCTGTCAATGACACTTGCAGAGCTAGCAGCTCCTTTGCATTGTGTGAATAAAGAGGTTTAAACAGGACACATCCAGGACAACATGAATTTGTAATTTAATGTAGGCACACTATTAAGGATTTGAATGTGTTTTATTGTAAACCTCGTTACAGGTTCAACACAGTGGTGTCACAGGAAAGCGTGGAAATTTTATCCTCACAGTATATAGCACTGGCAGAACAAACCTAACTGCATTAGTAAGACTGCTGCTGTTTCAGGGAGAGTTGTTCAAATGCAGAGAGCTGGGCATTCAACCACCCACTGCTGCAAAGGAAAACAACAGGGAGTTTTGCTTGTATCAGGGTTGCAGAACTAGTCCTCATTTATGTGGTCGCTCATGAGGCCTTGTGAGTTTTGACTCCAGGTGTAGCCAAAGATTTTCTTCAAATATTCTGCTGCCTAAATGTCCTATGATGTAGGTAAGAATTCATTTCTGAAATGCAATGAAATGTTTTAAAGTCTGAATAGTTAACTTGGGAGCTTAGTTTACTTAAATTCTGAGGAAGATTCTATTAAAGTTAATATTTAATCTGTAAAATTTTCACATTTAGTTCTCCACACTTGAACACTGTGATTATTTACAGTTATGCAAAATGGGTTCTAAGAACCTACAAAGAAAGTCTTGATCACAACACAAACTAATGAAGAGTGGAATTCATCAAAGAGCCTGGGAGTGTAACATGTCTGCCTGGTGTATGTATGCGTACACATACAAACTGATCCCTAAAACTCTGTTCAGTCTGAGGCAGTTCTGTTTCAAACCAACTAACAGGTTGCTTATCTAGTACCGAAAGAACAAACTGCCACTTTGAAAGCAGAAAGTGGAAACTAGCTAGAGATTTGTTAGCGATGTTCTCTTATATAAACAAATATTATTAATTCATTTACTATGATTTATCCAGATGTTTGTGCTTCTTTAGATACTAAAACAAAGGTAACGAGATCTTAATGATTAGACATGATCATTTTAAAGATATTTAAAATACTTAAAATACTGAAATGCTTACAACACAGGTAAGGGACTTGGGGTTTTGGGGTTTGGTTTTTTTTTTGAGCAATGAATATAAAAACCAAATGTTGTGATTTCCTCAGAAAAGGAGCAAGTTATTTGGAGAATCTGGTAAGCACTGAAAATTGTGCAGGAGTTTGTATGAGCTGATATTTATACATTAATAAAAAGCTCATACTGCTTTCTCTAAAAAAAAGGCAGATGAAACTGCAACTTAGGTTTAACTTAAGTAATACTTTTAAATATAAATTTAAAATCCTGCAATAGTGAAACTAAGCTGCATAGAAGAAATTAATGATTTATACAATGCCCTCAAATGAACACAGAATAATTAAGATAATTTTAAGCCACTGATGTTTCTCTCATGAATTCCTCAAGGACAGTCACTACATTTCTGGCTTCTGGCATTTCTGCATGTTCTACTTTAACAATCTTCAAAAGGATGTCTCCGCTGCCACAGTTCTTTAGAAACATGTAACACTTGAACAAGGCGTAGTGGTTCATTTCAGCCTGGCGGATAAACCTCTTCAGGTTGTTAATGTCTTGTATAGCCTGGGAAAAGAGAAACAGAGCATTTTCTTATCCTTCTACATAGAAAGAAATCATAATCTGGTGTGGAAAAGTGAAGGAAGAATAGCAGGAGAAGCAAAAGTATTTCCAATAGGTTTGATATTACTACTCAAGAGTGATGTGAGCATTGATGCATATTGATGTCTGTGATGCATATTACCACTGTTACTGTGATGATGCAAATGGTGTGGATGCACCTTGACTATGCCCAAAGTAGCAAGAGTCTTCCTCTTCTACTATGATTGATCGCCTACAAAGTGTCAACTACTGAATACATGTTACTCAGTTACAAGGTATTGTGTGTGCACAGCTCAAATTAATAGTATTTAAAGACAAAAAAAAGTGTGTTTTATTTTAAATATGAGAAAATGCCTTTTGAGTACTCACTGAAGAAACTTTCACATTCTGGCCCTGTCAACTACAGTAAGCCAGTCGTCAAACTAAACTTCCGAGTTTGACTTAATTTGACTTCATCAGTTAACGGTGTATAGACCTCAGAAGTAACCTAAAACTTTTCTTTGCTGCAAAAAGAGTATTTGTTCCCCCAGTAACCCTGATGTCTTCACCAAGTCTTTAACATATATGAACAGGTACCTTCAACTTAAAGTTTTCTAAAATTTGCCGGAAGAGAAACGGATTTCCACCTTCAGCACCATTCAAAAAAGCATGCATCCAGTCCTCACAGAATCGGTTGCTTCCTGTTACATATGTGTTCAGGAACAGAGAAGAGATGAGAAAAATTAAATGAGCTCAGCATAAATATGTAGCTGCATTCACCTGGTCTAATCACTCTCTCATAACAACTGGTAATAGTATATCTGGTCCAGGAAATAAGTTTTAAGGAAAAAAATACATGTGGCAAAGAAAAGCAAACGCAACTATAGTGATTACATGAAATTCTGTTCTGATTGTTGAATCCCTTTTCACAACATTTGTCAAAAATACAACAGGAAAAGAAAGTTTTGCAACTTCCCTGAAGTGTACAAGTCATAGTTTCACGGTCTGCAAACTAAACGCACTGTGGATTTTCTTATCAACCATTTTCAAACCAGAGTTCCAGTGTATCTGGTAAAACAATCTGCTCTGCTACCTCATAGGAAAACAGGTGTTCTAGTTTCCAGCCAGAATCCCAACTTTCTGGGCATGAACCTATAAGCTTCTGAATATCCTCAACTACCTCTAATGTCCACAACTCTCAGCAGCTGAGGGAGACAAGTGGGTAACATGACAAGGTATTCACAGCTGTAATCTCACCTGCATTATGCAACTGAGGCTGAGGTCCACTACAGTCTATTATCATTGACTTGTGCTGTTCCTCAGTCATGGCAATACACAAGGAGGTCATTGTGCCTTCCTGAACCAGTCCTTGGAGGCTGGCAGCCGCCAGAAACCTGACAGAAAAAGCTTTTGTGAACTGCTTGCTTCTTTACAGTTCTGGAACAGCAAGAACAGGAGGTGTCATACACAACAGCCAAGTTACTCACAGGTTCCTTGGTCCCAAAGTATCTTTACCTGCTAATATCTTTTTCTGTTCTTTCATCTGCGTTTTTTACTTCCACAGGAGTATAACTCAAAGCCTTACAACAAACAAACAAAAAAAGAAAAGAAAAAAGTTAGATGCAACTTGGATATTACTTCTATTGCTATATTGCAGTTACTACCAATAAGTACATGATGTGGTACTTTAAAAATGGTTCTTTTCAGAGAAAGAGTAGAGGCTAAAGGAATACTCCATATTACAGTCATTGCAGCTGGTTTTGCGTTCAGAAGAAATACAGCAGTTATACTCTATTAGCTATTCCATCCAAAGCCTCCTCAAACTTGGGGGCTAGAGCTAGGGTTAATTTATTTTCTGTTTCTAGTGAATTACATGAGGCACATACGCAATATGATATCCCTTTTGGCTCAGAGGAATTATAGCAGGGACAGTTTTCTCATGCTGTTTGTAATTTTCCCATTCTAATTTCAACTACTTGGATACTACTATGTAATTTAAAATGAGTTAACTATGAAAATTGCCAGAAGAAATTACTATGCACTTAGCAATAAAGCAGGGAAAAAAGTACATGCCCTGAATTTAAAAAAAAAATAAAATAAAAAAAAACTTGTTCCTCATTTAGTCCTGGCTGGGAAAGCAAATGCAAGGAACATTTTAAACATGTTGGAGTCACTGAAATTCCTTCTGAGCCTTTTTAAGTTATCCAGTTTCAAATACACTTACAGCATGTAACAAAAAGGCGAGTTTCTCCTGGAAGAGCTGTACTACTCTCTGAATAGGGCATATGGCATTCTCAAACCAGCTTCTCAAGTAGGGGTCAACGTAGGTCTCCAAGGTCTTTTGCTGTAACAAGTTGAAAGATTAAAAGTTTAACTACAAATTAGATTTCTACACAAATGGAAGCCTATTAATAATCTATTCAACCTAAGATATTTGGATGTCAGAGCCTTCTTAATTTCAAATCACAATAAACTAAGATAATGAGTTTGACATTTAAAGGCACTCGCGTGGAGCATTAGCAATGAAGGGCTTTGCGTTTTAAGAGTAGACAGAAGTGTAATATTATGGCATCTACCAGGCAAAGACCAGGCAACAGCAGATGGGGTGAGACAGACTTAAAACACATTGTTTCCATTTGAAAAATTGTGACAAGAAAAACACTAAAAATCCTTCCTTAACATTTAGAAGTGACAAGAATCTAGATGGACATGGATAACTTTCCTATAGACTGTTACCTTTTAGTAGTCAGTCTACTCTCTGAACATAACTAACCTCTAAGAGATTTATAACTGGCACAAAAAAGTCCCCTCCCTCTTTTTTTTTCTTTTTGACTTGTGTGGGTGATGGCACTTTAGACATTCACTGTCACTACAGTGAATCAAGGTATCTCTCACAGTGATACAGACTGGTACATAAAACACCTGTTTTGTCTCTTACAGACCAAATCTTCCAGATTGTCTTAGTAACTAATTTGCATAAATAGTAATTTTCACCACTTCAGGAAAAAAAGTTAAGCCTTACCTCCAAATCAAGGTTTATCTTCAGACTTTGAATGTATTTGTCGAGCTCAAGTCTGAAAGTATCTTCTTAAGGAAAATCAGATGCATCAGTTAGGACCTGCATTTTTCCCTTTCAGTATGTGGCTGCTACTGACATTTTCAGTTACTGGAAGGTGTGCATAAACCGGCTGATTTCAAGTAGGAAACAGACAAAATGAGAACATCATTTTTACATCATCTCCCTCTCCACACAAATAAAGGTAAGGATATAGTTCCAGACCCTTCTCTGAGCCACCCAAGAAACAAACTACATATTCTGGAGCATTGATGTCTGATTCCAGTGTTGGCATTTCTAGAAGATTTTCTTGTTGGAAACGACAGTAATAACAACCAACATTATATTCTGGTATGCTATGCAGAAAAAAAAAAAAGAGAATAATTTTGTTACAGATATATCACAATAAATAAGTGCAAAAAGCAGACATAAATGATTTCTGTAAAGAATTTTCACCCACTAGCACTGGTGGCTCCTATGGTCATATATAGAGCTCTTAGACCTTCTCTTTTTTCCTCTGTGGTACAACCAGAGTAGTTTAAAAGGAAATAGTAATAAGCACATATAGTATTTTTAAAGAATTCAAACTAAATTATTTACTACAATATTTTTCTCAAAGCTACTTAGAAAAAGAGGAAAGTGCCATTGCGAAAAGCTGTCATTAGCAGTAGTGGTAGACTGAGAACAAGGGATCAGGATTAAACCGAAGTGCAGCAGCAGATGGCAAGATGTGCAGTACTGCCAATGTTTCTTACAGTTTCTCATCCACAAATAATTTTTAAAATTTACCTCAGCCCCACTGACGCCACATTCCCCATTCCTTCAAACAGGGCTCCTTTAGTAAGACGCTTAGCGATAAAACTGCGCAATTCAGTCTCTGCTTCAGCTGGTAAGTTAGTGTCCAGCAAGGAGAGGCTTTAAAAACCAAGAAGAAATAATTAGCAAAAAGCAAAACGTTATTGTTTTTCTCTGAACAAGTGAAAAACCACCTGCTTCTAGAAGGGGGACCACTGTGATCTCTCTCTGGCTTAGAGATCTTAACTCACTCTGTGACTTCTGGCCCATATTCAGTGGTTTGCCCACTAGACCAGAAGTCTGGAGTTGTGGTGTCAGCTGATGCTGAACTGCTCGGGAGCTATGAACAAGTCACTGCCCCTCTTTGTTCCTGTGTTTCCCCAGCTGTAATACAGAGCGACAGCTCCATTACAGAGCTTGTGGGAAGCTAGGGTGTCAATTTAAAATTGTTTAATGCATTTTAATTATCTGTTATTTAGATGAAGACCTAAGTCAATACAGAAACATCAAGTATTACTAGCAAAGAAAACAGTTCAAACTCAAAGATGATAGTTCATGTTTAATACATTATTAGAGCTCTGTAGTTGTATCCATTCCCTAGGTATTCCAGAAAAGCACCCAAGGGACTTCAGTATGCTTTCACGGCGGTTTCTGCTTTGAAGGGACTTCAGCTTACTTTCAGCTAACGGCAATACGGCAAAGACTTCAAACTGAGATGTTACAGGCGATTATGCTGTTCTGCAGATTGTCTTTACCTGAAGTCTTCGCTGGAGGGTGTCTCTGCCGCCGCACTGCTGGGACTGCCACCCCCACTGTCTGCTCCCTGCTGTGAGGATCTGAAAATGAAGCCATTCATGGGATTGATTTTACAGCCTTAACACACAGAGCCGGGAAAAGGGACTGCAGCGAGAAAAGGTATGGCCTGAGGGTGTTTTAAAGCAGAAGCGGGGAATCCGGTCATTATGAGAGAAAAAAAATCTCTTTGGGGAGAGAGACGGGGGAAAAAAATAAAGCGAACTGAAGCAGCTGGGAACCGACAAGGCCTGGAAACAGCCTCCCCGCGGGCGGACCCAGC